CTCTAAATGGCGTTTGAGACTGTAGGTGCTTGCAAATCAGAATCATCAACCCAACCGAGCCAGTCTGTTGTTTCTTTCACTGCTCCCACAAACAGTGATGATCATGCACGAAAGAGCTTTGTTTGTGTTCTTTTTCCAGGTACATTTAGAAATAAAATAAAAAAGAGCAAGATGGAGTAATTCAATTATCCCTGGCCAACTGTGTATTCTTTATGACAGCACAAGTCTTGGGCTCCCTTCAGTGCTTCCTTGATTTATTTCAAGTGGAAGACTTTAACTGCTGCATTTATTGTAACTAGATAGAATACCCATCTTCCCCTTCACTCCTAGTCAACTTTATGATCGTTATGTTATTTGTTTATGATCCACAGCTCTTTCATAATGGTCAGTCTGGCATTATGCTATTCTTCAGTCTCCCTTAATTTAATATTTCCACTTTATGTGTGGTGCATTAATAAAAAAATTTAAAAAGAAAATCAACGACTGAAAAAATATCGATGCAAATATGGGGTGTTTGCAAAGAAGAGTCATTGTCATCTAAGACCATGATGCAAAGAGTTTGGAAGAGAACCTGGCTTTTTTTTCTGCCCAGACCTAACACATTACTATTATAAGAAGAGTTTAAAGTAGGTACTCTTCTTTGTTCTCTTTTGCTGCTAAAATTTCATAATTTATTCTTATCTGCTTGAAAATCTCATCTAAAATGTATCAAATCCTGTAAAAACAATGTGCAAACCAACATGGTGAACTAAATGGTGAATATTAAAAAAATGACTGCACATAAGCGCAACATTCGCTGACATTTGTTGTCAGCAAAGATTGCGGTCTGTTTTAATAATGACCCTGGGAACTATATGAACCTTTGAGATTGGTTGTGGCAGACAGTGTATTATCAGGGATTGATCATTTCATTTGTTGTGACAAGGCCCAACCGAATTTACAGAACATGTGGCCACTCTGGTTAGTGGAAATGTCATGAGATTATCGCCTGCACTGAAAATGCGTTGTAGGGTAAGATAGAGAGATGGATTCAACAAAAATCAGCCTTTACATGGAGATGCAAATAGAAGGAGTAGCAGCAGATTCAAGCTTGCTGTTGTAGAAACCTTCACAACATTCTGTTGAATCAGTGCACACAATGGAAAGGTGAATGGCTCAAGTTTCTTCTCAGCACTCCAGATTGCTGAAGGAATGTACATACATCCTAGGTATTAACCCTTTTTCTTGTCAAATTCCAAAACAATGTGCTTGGTATGAAGAAACTCAAATACTGAAAAAAGGATCTGCTAATAAGATAATATAAAAAAATTGGTGACACTTTGAACATCAGAAAGGAATGTCCTGATTGATTATGCACAAAAAGAGACTCTTATGAGACCAGAGCTTGCAGCTATTTTCTAAGGGGTATGGGATGATGAAAAGTTCGACTATTTCATCACTTGAACCTTTCCTATGTTTCCCCAAATTACGTATAAGCACACACACCCCTATTTCCTGCTATCTTGTCTCCCCACATTGCCTAACTGCTGCTTTCAAGTTATTCATAGCCACCCTGGCAACAACTTGTCCTTTCAAAGGCCAATGGCTTCATCCATGTCTAGTCTCCTCACAATCTTTTTACTCTCGTAGTGGGAGTCTTCATCCCCTTTCATACTCCTGGCCTCAGTTTAGCTGGAACGGGTCAGAAATAGTACAACCCTTCTCTACTCCATAGTCACCATCATCTCTCATTTTTCATCAAATTCCACATACCAATTATTGTTACTTTTTCTTTAATTTCTCCATTACTCCTCCCTGTGAACACTTCATATTCCCTTATCTGCTTTTCTTATTCTTGCTCCTATCTCTCATAGCCTTTTCCCCTTTAATTTCCTTCTTCGGCTGCCTCTTCGCTTCTCCTGCCATTTGTTAACCTCAATACAAGTATATTATTTTGAGCTTAACATATATAGACGAACACATGAATAAATACACACACATATTGATATGATATATACCTTGGTCCCACAAATAATATCAAAATTACTTACACATACCAGCATATACCATTATAGTCTCTCAAACATGCTGCATTTCATTTTCATTTTCACTGTACACTAATACACTGTCCATTGTGTCACAGACAACCCATGATTTTACAATCAAATCACCCCCCCACACACACACACACACACTATACATTAGAAATATTGTCATTCAGAAGCATTTAAAGAAAAGCAAAAATGAACAATGCTTTCATTTTATTGATGTTGGGTTTTCTGTCGAGAAAATCTGAAACAAGCTTGGAGAGCACAAGTGTTTTCCAACTCACATTGAGGTTCTTCTCTCACAAAGCAAGGGACATTGCACCATCTAGTGCCTTGAGGCTGACATTACCCGTTTACTTTTAAACGGACATGACCAGTAGAGAGCAACATGTCTTTCTGAAACTTGTCTTTTCTCCTTATTTTTTGCATCTCGAAAAGTTACCAATGAAAAAACTATGCAAAATGTAATACCAAATATCCTCTCTAAAAGCGAATCTCACAATTATACCCATCGATCTACATTCCCACCCTCATCTATGGTCATGAGCTTTGGGTTGCGACCGAAAGATGAACAAATGATAGATAGATAGATAGATAGATAGATAGATAGATAGATAGATAGATAGATAGATAGATAGATAGATAGATAGATA